GTTTTGGAGCAAGATGGGGGATGGTGACCTCTGGATGACCTAAAAAATTATTTTTAATATCTCAGAAACCAAACCTGCACAAACAGAGCACTAACCACTCAGACTATTTGTTGGATTTTTTGACATGGGTGGGGTGTCGGCTTCACTCAGCTCTGGCAGCTCTGTGGGATTTGACCCATTGAAGCTCCGTTCGAGCCTTTAGATCAGGCTCCATTTAAGTTCCTGTATTTTAAAACTACAGAGAGTGAGCTATTTTTCCACTCTCTCTGTTGCTCCTTCTTGTCTCAGAATATGAGCCGACGGCAGCTCAGCTGTGCTGCGTCCCAACCCTGCTTTTACTCCTCAAAGCATCACAAGCTCGTTCAGATCAAGGGAGATATCTCTGGGGGTTCTTATCCCCCTCCTCATAAATCTGAGACAGAAGCTGCTTCTCATCTTTTCTGCGCTCTGTTGTTATGTGGTGCGCACGTCCGCCCAGCGCCTTTCTGTGTGAGGCCATCACACAGGCTTACACTTCTTCTGGATTGGATCCTCCAGAGAATCTGAGAGTCACTCCACCAGAGGGATTTCATCCTCCACAGCTCTGCGTGGAGGAATGTCTGTGGAGGACATTTGCACAGCAGCTTCCTGGTCATCTCTGTGCTCATCTATTCGGTTTTACCTGTGTGATGTTTCCACGTTCTCTATGACCCATTCTGTCCTCAGAGTTCTGACAGAATAGTTATTTTTGTCATGTTTATTTTACAAAGCATTTGAGAAAAACATGATTGTCCAAAGTGCTGTATAATAAGTTACCTGTTCTGTTCATCGTTACACTGTTACAGTTCGCAACGTTCTCTGTTCCTGTTCACAGCAGCAGGTCTGTTTGTCTCAACCTTTCTGACCAGATGTTATTCTCTCTGGTCTTCTGCTGTATGGGAGGCCGGGACTCCAGACTAAGACTGTTTTTGTTATATGCAGCAGATGCTTCATGGCGGTGGTCTGGATGGACCCAGTGAGGCATAGACTACATCCTGCTTTGCCGTTAACCCACTAGCGATAGCTTTAAAGGGCGAAGCCGGTACTCATAGAATCTGGGTTACAATACATAATCAACGGTTTGTGCTCTAGTTATTATCATGACCTGGTCTGACCTCTGACCTTAACATTTTTAGAACCAAAACTATGGCGGCCATCTTTTCTGCATCAAGCTTGTGAAAATGAATCTGTTAAAAGTCCGTCCCTTCGTTTAGTACTACATTACCCATGATGCATCTGTTCGTTTTTGTAGTTCGAATTTCACGTAGATGAGAAAGTTATTTTCTGTGCTTCTGTGTGGCTCGGTGGCATAAAAATCCATCCACGGATAGCATCCACTATCGGTCCTTCCTTAATCCCGTGTGTATGAGACCTGTGTGCGTTTTCATTATGTAAGTATACATTTTTCCGCCCGATATTTGGGTTTATGTCAGTTATTAGCCCAGGAGGTGAAATTGGTGAAAATGTCATTTGTATTTTTATTGCATTTGACCGATAATTCATGTGTGGTGTTATGGTGCCCTCCAGTGGATTTCTGTGATACTACAGGTCATTTTCATCCTGTATCTATGTGTAGCCGCTTTGCCCGCATGGCTATTAATATGCACCTTTATTGTTTCTTCTGTTTCAGATAACCACACACACACACACACACACACACACACACACACACACACACACACACACACAAAACCAAATATAACCACATCGTTCCCATCTCCTATCTCCTGTACCATCATCTCCCATGCTCTCTGCTATTATTCCATCAATAAACCTTCTAAGCTGCATCGGTGGAGTTGGCCTATTCCGTCTGACCGAGGAAGATTCAGTTGATGAGAAATCTGAAATTAGCGCATGCTAGACGCACACAGTCTTCTATAGAATCAACTTTCCTCCTGATATTATGAACACAATATATATTATGAAAGCAAAGCAGAACGCAGTGCTCAAAATAAAACACTTTTTTATTTGATTTTAATCCTCAGAAAATGAAAGTTTGACTTTAAAGCGCTGGTATGTACAGTCGGTCCTCCGGATCCTGCACTGTTTGGATCAAATGACTGCAGAATCTGCTGAACTTTGACCTGCTGAGGAGGGAAGTTCCCGCCACTAGGGACTGAACCGGAACACGCCCCTGGATTAAAGTCGTCAGCAAACTCAAGGTTCGATTTCCTAAGGTGAATCCGTCCCTGGATCAGAACCGCCCACGGAGCGACTGTAGCAAGTGTGTAAAAATGTTTACATTTCACCCCAAATCCATCCTCACTATATATGTATATTTGTTTTTCTTAGTTTCTGAATTGTACTTTATTTTGGTGGAGGTGTTCGTGTCCCGCTGCCCTCCTCAGTTCGCACCGAGCTGCGCTGTGGAGAGGTGTGTGTGGGAAAGCCAGAGCCCAAGAACTGGTGTGCTGAAATTATTCTTGTTTTGAACAGAATGAACCTGCCCTACTGCTGCAAAACACCCCGGGTCCTCGTCTGCTGGTTCTTTTTACCCATTACACACAACGCAGAGTACATACAGCAGATGAGTCAGATGATGGCGGCTACAGGACCTTTATTCTGAAAGCACGCACCGGATGTACCAGCTTCCGTCCCTCTAGCCGACCCGAACTGTCAGCAGCAGAGGTCTCACCGCGGAACCGACCCAGACACGCGACAGGTTCGGATCAAGATCCGGGACCGAACTCCACGATGACCCAGGAAAATATTTTCCTCTTTGTTCCGAATTTAATCGGTGAGTTTTTTCCTCCATCAATTTAGCTTAGCATTATCCATTATGGCGGCGCCGCTCAGACCAGACTCAATTGAAAAAAATGACAAATTTATAGACTCTGTGGTTCTGACCCGGTTCTGTTGCTGTGACTTTTGGAATTGAAGCTTAAAAACCAAAAGAGTCCCTAAAAATAATCGGACTTATTTTTATTCTGTTTTTAGTTGGTTGAAATAACATTTGTAGATCTTATATGTTTCAAATATGAAGTCCCGGCGGTGGCTTTAAGCTGTGACGAAATCTGAGTTTTAATAAGTTGTTATTGATCTGCTTACTCAGATCAATAACAATCTGGGCAACACGCTCCGTTCCAGTGTAAGGGCATGTTGGTGGTTCTGTACCACCTGACCCAAATCCATGCTGGTTCTGATGTTCTCCATTCTAACCGTCTTTATTCTTCCATTGAGTTTGATGTGAAAGAAGCTAAGTGGATCAGAACCAGAGGAAGGAACATGACTTATGGATCTGAACATTTCTTTTGTTAATAAAAAACTGAAAAGTGTGGCTTGCAGCAGTTATGACAGCTGTAAATGAACCTAGTTAAGGCTTCAGACTTTGTCTGATCAGAACCAATCCAGATGTTGTGGTGCAGCAGCGGGTCAGAGGGGTTCTGGTTCTGTTTGAGGCATCCTAAGCTGTCTGCAGGTTACGCCCGTGTGGTTCTGGCGCTGCTGTCCTTCTACCTGATGCCCAGCAGTCCGTGGCCGGCCGTCTTCTGCTATCTGCTGAGCGCGCTGCTGGACGCCTTCGACGGCCACGCCGCACGGGCGCTGGACCAGGGTACGCACCGCCTCCAGGAACCTGGGCGTTCCCTCGGTGACCTCTGACCTCTGGGTGGTTTGCTTCCAGCCACCAAGTTTGGCGCCATGATGGACATGCTGACGGATCGCTGCGCCACCATGTGTCTGCTGGTCAACCTCGCGCTGCTCTACCCCTCCTACGCCTTCCTGTTCCAGCTCAGCATGAGCCTGGACATCGCCAGCCACTGGCTGCACCTGCACAGGTGAGTCTGCTGCCGCTGGGCCGGACTGGACCGGAACCGACCTGGTTCTGGTTCTGTTGACTGCAGTCTCCTTCCTCCTCAGCTCCACGGTGAAAGGCTCAGGAAGCCACAAAACCATCGACCTCTCTGGGAACCCGATCCTCCGGCTCTACTACACCTCCAAGGTCAGAACCGGACCGGATCGGACCGGGCCGGGCCGCTGCGGCTCTCATGAGTCATGGTTACAGTCTGTTTCAGCCGGTTCTGGTTCTGTTTCAGCCAGTTCTGTTCGTGATGTGCGCTGGGAACGAACTCTTCTTCTGCCTGCTCTACATCCTGCATCATATCCAGAACCCGGCAGGTAGGCCCGCAGCATGACACCACCACCTCCAAGTGTCCCTATGTGTCTGGATTATTAATCTGATTATTAATCTGGGTTCTGTAATCCCTCCGTAATCTCAGAACATTTTCTTCGTTTGGAGCTCAAATTAAAGCGACCCACTTCCTGCTGCAGGGGTTCTGGGTCAGACTCAGAACCGGACCGACCCAATTTAATCCCCCCCTGGCCCCCCTCTCTGCAGGTTGGCTCCACCCCCTCCTCGCTCTCTGCGGCGCCGTCTCCCTCCTGAAGGCGGCCATCAGCGTTCTCCACCTGGTCACCGCCTCCCAGAACATGGCCGCCCTGGACGCCGCGGAGCGCGCCAAGAGGCTCTGAGCGGCCCGATGGACTCGGTACCAGTTCTGGTCCGGCCCGATTGAAACGCCTCATTCATGACCAAATTTCATAAAATCACAAATATTCCAGCTTTCTTGGTTGCTTAGCAACCAAATATTACAGATTAGAGAGAAAACATCCCATAATCCCTGGACTGGTCCGGTTCTGATCCGGTTCCGGTCCGGCTCTCATCATGTGATCCGGGTCGGGTGTCCAGCTCAGGCAGAACCAGCACATCCAGACTGGGTTCTCTGGTTCTGGTGGACCTGTTACCCGGGCCCGACTTGTTCTGAAGGTTCTGCAGAGTCCTGAACCGCCGGGCTTTGGGCCCACAGAACCTCAGCAGAATCAACAGAACCCGTCAGAACTTCATTCCTCCAGAACTCATCTGGGTCAAACTGGGCTCCGTTCTGGTTCTGGTCGGCTTACCGCTCCGATTCCTTTGATGTTGTGATGAAATGTTCAGTATTTGGTGTCCAGGAACCGGGCCGGTTCCGGACGCGTAGAACCGGGCCGGGTTCTGGAGCTTTTATTATGATGTAATTTATTATTATTATTATTATTATTGAGAATTTCCAATAAAATCTGGAAACTCGCCGTTTCTCCAGAAAGAGGTTCTGGAAGCTCCAGAGGTTCTGGAAGCTCCAGAGGTTCTGGAGGTGGGTTCTGGGTTCTATTGGACCGGGTCATGTTGTCTTTGATGCACTTTGTGTTTTCATAGGAATTCTGGGAATCTGCTTCTTTAGTTTTTATTATTTGATGTGAAATGAGAATAAAGTTTTGCTGCAGCTGGTTTTGACCCGGTTCTATTCATTATTCAGAACTTTGTATGATTCCTGGTTCTGGTTTCAGTGAAACAGAAAATACATTTACCAGAACCAGAACCGTTCCAACATCATTTTCCTCTAAATAAAAATATTTAGAATCTCAACATGAAATGGTCCTCGAAGTGGAACCGCTCAGCCGGACCAGAACCAGCAGAACTCTCGACCCCGTTCCTCGAAGATTCTACTGGATCAGAACCAGAACGCAGCAGGTCTTGGTTAAGTACAGCGGTTCTGAAGGTCCAAACAGAAGGTCCAGGTGGTTCTGATCCAGTCTGACTACAAGAATCAGCACCTCCTAACAGAACCGGTCCAAAACAGACCGCTGGATGCTGCCAGAGCGTTGCCATGGAGAGGTCCACCTGATCAGAACCAAGACCGGTTCTGGACCCACCAGCCCTCCAGAACCAGCCAGGACCCGGTTCGGTCATCAGCAGCTCATCACCACTCAGCCTCTGGACCCTCCGAACCGCCCGCCAGGGATTACAGGTCATCGGAACCGGGTCGCCCATGCTGAGCGGAACCGGCTATATTTGTCTCGCGCTCGGAGGAAAACAGGAAGTGGTTTATATTTCTAATTTTATTTTTTTATTTGTAGTTTTCCTGAAAACCTGAAACTACAAGAACATAGATCAAAAAGCTTCTCAGTAAAAGAATCGGGCTGGTTCCGGACGGACCTGCTGAACGCTCTCTGGCCCAAACAGAACCAGAACCTAGAATTGGGTTTTTCCTGTATGGAGTTCGACGAGCGGCGCGACCAGGCGCCCACGTCACGCTCCGTCCAGCTGTTGCACCTGCGCGAATCGTTACCTTTAAGATGCTCGAGGGATAAAGCCTCGAACCGGACTCCATTGCAGCCCGGAGTTCGGCCAGCCCGTCCGGACCGGCCGGCCCGTCTCTGTTCCTGACCGACCGCTGCGGAGAGGTTCTGTTCGGCGCTGAGGACGGATTAGCGGCTGGGGCTTTCTGTCGGAGGAGAGCCACGGCATGAGACGGGGTCCGCGCGGAGGGAGCACGAGCCCAACCCTTTCCCTTTAAAGCGCCGACAGAGGGGGGAGAAGAGGAGATCAAAGAGGAGGGAGGAGGGAGCGAGAAAAAAACAGAAACACCTCCTCCAGACGCCGAGGCGGAGCCACGGACCGAGCCGGGCCGGGGCGCCGCTGAGCGGGGGAGGCGCAGCAGGAAACACCGAGGCTTGGCTCCTGCAGCGGAGGCCTACCTGGAAGATCCGAATAAAACTAACCCGAAAAGGTCTGCAGAACAGAACCGAGCCGGTCCAACTGCCCGGTGCCTCCAGGCTGCAGCTGTTTGTATTAAAATGCACCAACCATCACTGGGCCTTAGCGCACCGCAGAACCGAGCCCTGCTGGACTCTCTGAGCTGTCAGTGAGCAGGAGCCACCAGGCCCCATAAGCGGTACCAGAACATTTCTCCCTGGGTTCCGGGCCCTCCTCCTCCCTCCCTCTCTGCGGCCCTCAGCATGGACACTTCCTGGAGCAACTTCCTCTTCCAGGTAGGTGTTGATCCGGGTGCAGGGGGTCAGGGGCCACAGAGGGGTCAGGGGGGATCTGCAGGTGAGCTTCAGAGGTCCACCAGGTCCTGTGATGAACCCGGTCCTGTTCGGACCTCCATAGCTCAGCTGTCCAGTCCATCAGAACCATCATCCAGAGTCTAACAGGGTGACGGCAAGTTGGACTTTCCCCGACCCAGTTCTGGTCTATTTTTACAGAATCCCAGTTTCACTTTGAGGATGTTTCCCTAGAACATTCAGCTCAGAGTTGTGATGGTTCTGACCGGGTAGAACATCCAGAACCTTCTGGGTTTAGACAGATTGTCTATCCAGTCGCAAGTCTTTATGACTGCTGGAGGACTTCCTGGTTTCTGTCCAATCAGAGAGGAGGAAGACACCTCTGATTCTGGAGAAACTGGACCTGGAGGTTCTGTTGAACACACAGCAGAACCAGAACCATGGAAACCCAGCAGGATGTTCTGATGCTGCCGAGTCAGGAATAACTGATTGAAAAGGAGAGAATCACCATAGCAACCAGTTATTACTAAAGGGCTACTGGGGGGCGGGGCTAAACTTTGAGACTAAACGCCTACTTTTCAAAATAAAAGTCTGACTCCATCTGAGTAGATCATGTGACCTCTGGAGCAACCTGATTGGTTAATCTGATGCAGAGGATTCTGGGAAACAGAGCTGCAGATTAATCCAGATGTTCTTGCAGCCAACCCAGACCCAACCCGAGGCGCCGCTTCAGGCCGAGCTGCTGCCGGACCTGACCGGGTCGGCCCAGAGTCCCCCGGCAGAACACATCGTGACGGCCCCGTCCACCGTTGACACGGCCGCCCTGAGCGAGGAGCCGCTGCCAGGTGAGCAGAAACAGAATCTGGACCGGACCTTCCTGCGGGTCAGGTTCTGGAGCTCAGAACCTGACCCGTGTCTGTCTCACCGTCCCGCCTGTCAGTCAAGCCGCTGCCCAAGCCGACCAGGCCGGCCCACATCTGCTCCACCTGCAACAAGGAGTTCAAGAACAGCTACAACCTGCGACGCCACCAGTCCGTCCACACGGGCGTCAAGATGAAGGACCGCGTGGCGCGGGACAAGGAGGACGGCGCCAAGGCGGGCCGGCTGGAGAAGACCACCATCCCTCTGTCCCTGCTCCAGCTCACGCTGCCGGCCCAGCCGCTGCCCCCGGCCGGCGCCCCGGACGCCCTCGCCCCGCTCGCCGGCCAGGACGCCCAGCCGCTCTCCGTCTCCATCGCCCCAGCAACCGTCACCATGGCCGCTCCCCCTCAGCCCATCCAGGCAGCCATTGTTGTGGTGGGCTCCATGGAGCAGGTGGGTCAGCTGGTTCCGAAGGTCTGAATGCCGGTTCTGAACTTCCTTATGACATGGGCTTCCTTTGTTCCGTCCGCACAGAATCCCAGTCCCAGCCCGGTTCCGAACCCCAATCAGGTGAGGAAGAACCATGCCTGTGAGGCGTGCGGGAAGGCCTTCCGGGACGTGTACCACCTGAACCGGCACCGGCTGTCCCACTCGGACGAGAAGCCGTACTCCTGCCCCGTCTGCCAGCAGCGCTTCAAGAGGAAGGACCGCATGAGCTACCACGTCCGCTCGCACCAGGGCGGTGTGGAGAAGCCCTACATCTGTCCGCACTGCTCCAAGGCCTTCTCCAGGTAGGACCGCCTCTCCAGAACCCAGAACCCAACCCGCAACCATCCTACCGTTAATCACTTCCCTGTCTATCTGTCTGTTGCAGACCGGATCACCTCAACAGCCACGTCCGACAGGTCCACTCCACCGAGAGGCCCTTCAAATGCACGGTAGGTCTTCCAAGGGTTCCGCTGAGGTGGTCTAGAACCCAACTAACCTGACAACCGGTACCGTCATGACAAACGGTACCAGCCACCATCTCTAACGTGTTTTCTGCAGACGTGTACGTCAGCGTTTGCCACGCGGGACCGCCTCCGTGCGCACCTGATCCGCCACGAGGAGAAGGTGCCATGTCACATCTGCGGGAAGCTGCTGTCGGCGGCGTACATCACTGATCACATGAGGGTCCACAACCAGTCGCAGCACCACTCCTGCCACCTCTGCAACCGCAGTAAGATGCAGCTTCACGTGCACGCTCATGCATGCATCCCTCGGTAACCAGGCGTGTATCAGTCCGCTGCGGAAAGTAGACCCACCTTGACCTTTTCTGCCTGGTTCTGGCTTCGGGACAGCTCCAGATCCTCGTCTTTTCTGGATTTGTTGAAAGCTGTGCAGAGTTCTGAAGATCCGGTTTTGTTGCAGGTTTCACCACCCTCACCTACCTGCGGGTCCACGCTCAGAAGCACCACGGCCAGGAGTGGAAGGAGAGCGGCGGGGCGCGGGGGGCCTTTGGCGGGGCCGGCGCCGGCGGCGTGCTGCTCTGCCAGCTCTGCGGGGTCCAGTGTAAGACGGCCACCCAGCTCCAGGGTCACATGGGCACCCACGCCCAACAGGGCGACCCGGCCCCCAACCAGACCAGCGCTGAGCCCGTCGGCACCACCAGCGCCACCGTCACCGTGGCCAGCCCGCTGCCGGTGGGGCTGCTGGTCACCGACTGCTCCGGCATCGGCCCCCCGCCCCACAGTTAGCACGGCCGGAGGGGGGCAGGCCCAGCAGTGCTGCCAGGTGAGGTCATGAGGGGTCATGAGGTTTTGGGGGTCAGGTCAACCTTCTGGTTCTCTTGTGTTGGTTTCAGAGACATTGATTCCAGGTGAGTTGCAGACGCTCAGTCCAACAAAGTATTCACATCCCTGAACCTCCAGAGGAACCATTTGGGTTCTGGTTGTCCAAACTCCCATTCATCAGCAAAGTTATTGAAAAAGCTTCAACAGTTAAACAGCTTCCTAACGATAACCAACCGCTTTGACTCCTTCCAATCTGGTTATAGTTAGTTATAGATCCAGATAGATCCAGAGTTACAGATCTAGAGTTACAGATCAGAGAAACTCATCCAGGCGTTTATCTTCAGTCTCATTGATTCCTGCAGCAGCATCTTCACAGGTCTGACCA